TTTTTGGAAGTTTTACCATTTTGTTTCGATACTCAAGACTTTCCTTGAATTGATACCAGAAATCAATATACAAGAATTTGTGTTCAATGCTCTTTTTTCCACGGTTGATAAATTTAGTGATGAGTTTTTTAATTAAATAATTCAAACGTTGATAATATTTCGCAGTACTGGACTTTCATTAATTTTCTTCTTAGATCAATTTTCAAAATAACAGAAAGTTAACAATGAAAAGAACAACTAGACAAAAATAGTTTTCTTAAAACCAAATTTTATTCAAAGTTCAAAAGAAGATTGATTCCTGTAGCTCAAATGAACAAATTTTTCCACGTGGGTTTTTAATTTGGAATTACTTTGACTAATTTGCGATGTTTAAAGCACATGAGATTTCTTTTTACAATTAGCTCATAGCAAATGCGGCGAACTAAACCAGATTCAAAAATTGGGCTGAAAGTTGCATGAAAAACGTTTGCGCTTTGCACTGGTAGGAACGTTGAATATGGTGTAACTTCAATCAAAAACATGCTTCACCTGCAACCATTTATCATAAAGATATGGGAGTTTGAAATTCGTTAATTGTCGTATTTGCCATAATGAACACCCTATATGTGTTTTTTGTCCTTTAAAAGCGTAAGCAACAAGTAAATTATTCCAATTGGGTTGAAGCAGGCAGCTTGACTTTCTCGTTATGATCGAAGACGCAAACCTATATCAGTTGGTACTTTACATAGCGTCGGAAGGGGGTAAAATGAAGAAACAAATTGAAAACACATCTTTTTTTTTCCATTTTTTGAGCTTTTGGTCATTTATTTTGAAATTCATTTTTTTGATGCTGATAGAGCGCAATCAAAACACTCAAGTTTTATTTTATTTGAACAGCGCCGTTGGTTTTTAAAACTGTTTCAAGCTGGACTTGGCTGAATTTTGAGTCGAAATTTCTTTTAGAAAATTTATCTCACTCAGCTGTCAACTGAGAGTCGAACAAAGAAAGAAAGAGAGAGTGAGCTATTTTCAAACACAAACAGATTCATTATTGCTCTGACTTTTGTAACAAAAGTAACGGAATATTTGTGCTTGGGTCGGGTCTTTTTTTTCAAACAAATTTCGATTTTTTAATTAGCCGTTTTTGACGAATTTTGAAAAATTCGTTCCAAAAGTCTTGTTGTCCTGAGCTTAAATTTGAAAAAATATTTTACCTGTGACCATTTTTCATAAAGTTATGGGGGTTTAAATATTGCCAATTTGGCCATTTTGGCCAATTAGGGACAATTAACGCCCGATATATTTCGCGCTATTAACGCGTAAGCGGAGATTTAATCCGTCTTAGAAATCGATGCAATTGGTTGAAGCAGGCGATTTGCCATAAATTATTTGTTGCTAGGAGTGAAATCTATCAGTTTGTACTTTATATGGCGTGCTGGGGGATCGTTATCAGAAAATTTTCAAATTCAGAAAAAAAAATAATTTTTTTAAATACCTTTATTTTCTTAAAAGGATCTTAAAAGGCAGTCGGAATATTCAAGGCTTCGCCCTGATACAAGCAGTCTTGTTTCAAGTTCAAAATCAAATACAAAACATAAAAATTGCGCCTAGCTGAATAAAAGTGAGGCTTCAATCACATTGCTTCAATCTTCAAATTTATAGTTTTCAGAATTTGGAAACTAATTTAAAAACGTGGCATCCTTTGTGAGGTCTTCGATAGAAGCCTTCACCTGGAGTGGGTTTTTTTCTTCAGAAAAATTTCGACTTTTTAACTTGCCATTTTTGACGAAACGTTTTTTATCATTCGAAAGCCATTGTTGCCCTGAGCTTAAATTTGAAAAAATATTTCACCTGTGATCATTTTTTGTAAGTTATGCGGGTTTTGAAGATTGCCATTTTGACCAATTTGGGACAATTAGGGCGCGATAATTTTTGCGCTATTAACGTGTATGCGGAGATTTAATCCGTCTTAGAAATCGTTCCAAATTGGTTCGTGGAAGCTTATATGCCACAATTGATTTTCTAATAGGAGCGAAATTTGTCTCTTTGTACTTAATATGGCGTGTGGGGTGATGTTTTTACGAAAAATCTAAATTTAAATTTTTTTTTATTACATTAAAATTTTTCATGTTATTACTGCTCCATCGACCTGAAAAGGCAGTCGGAAAATTCAGGGCTTCTTCCTGATACGTGCAGTCTTGTTACATTTTTGCATTGAGTGGTGGTGGCCTATAATTTTTTTTACAATTTAACCTATAGCGGATTCTTACTTGTCTGCTAAACGTGATTCCGGTAATTCCCCTTCACAATTTGTTTATAATTTTACTTAGTAAGTTTGGAGCACCAACTTGATCAGACCCTTGAGCGGAATTAAGAAAACATGAATTTGTTTTTCAAGATTTTCTTCGGGTGCGTCAGGTCGGCGTAAGCACACTAGCAGGGGTCTGACAAAAAGTTTGCTATAAACCTAAGTGACTTTTTTATTATTATTTTTAGTTGTTATACGAGCCATTTTTTGTAATATTTTAGTAATTTGCTGCCCTTGATAAACTAGTTTGATTTAAATTTATCAAGACAGTTTTTTAACCCAAAAGAATGGTTAATGTGATTTTGGGTCAAGCAAAATATTGTTATGTCATAGTAATATTTCAACTTCATGGGTGTGGTGTCTACAGTTAGTTAGATGCTAATCATGTCGTTCAAATTGGGTCGAAAGAAATTGATGAAGCGTTGTTTCAAAAGATAACTAAGGTAAATGATGCATTAAATAGTATTTGTTTTGCGGTTTAAAATTTACTAAAATAAAAATGACCTAGTTTAGAATTGTCAAGTTGGTTTTGTTTAGAGCCAATTATTGTTCTTTTGTTATGCTAGGTTTGAAGAGTACCGGAATGAGGTGGGTCGAACAGTGTCAGATTTTGATCAAAAAATCCTTGTCGGGAAGGCCTTATAGTAGAACACAAAGTCGAAACATAAAATTATGAAAGATCTTAAAAAACATAAGAATGTTTTTGTTCAAAAAATTTAGCCTAAAATTTGCTCTCAATCGAAAACCTTTTTGTCAGAGTAATAAGTTTAGCAACAAACACTCTAGAAAAATTGTTCAGCTAATTTTTTCCGACTTTCGAAGAAAATGCAATATTTATGCTTGGTGTGATTTTTTATATTCAGTTAAATTTGCCAAACGAAATAGTAGTTTTCAACAAAAAATTTTACACCCCACTGTAGATATCGGTTCTTGGGATAAAATTTACATAAATTTTTAACCTCCGATCAATTTTTATGAGGTTCTGTTGGTTTGAAAATTGCTAAACTGGCCATGTTTTGGACTAAAATATGCGTGCTTTGAAGAGTTCATTCATAATGCTGAGAGCGTAACGCGAATTATTTATGCGTGGCAAATAATCCCGCACAACACAAACGCTCTAAATTGGTTGATGCTAGCTAATCGGTGGCATTAAGTGCGTACGACTGACTCAAAATTTCACTCTTTGATATTGTCCAAATGTATATAGGTTTTCATAATTTTCGGGGTTTGGGAAATTAGACGACAAGGAAATTAAACGATCCGAAAATAACGGAATTTAGACAATAACTTGCATAAAATTTGTTTACAGACTTAAATTATCTTTTGGCTGAGTAAATACTGGTTGTTCAATTTAGACAATAAGTTGCGAGCAAATTGCGTGAATTTTGTTTACAGACTTAAATTAACCTTTGGCTGAAAAATTACTGGTTGTCCGTAAATTCCGTTTCTTTACGGTCACCTAATTTCTTGTCGTCTAATTTCCAAGGCCCCTTATTTTCTTTTCCCAAAAACTATTCGATATGAAAAAAGGGACAGTCGAATTTTGCCTGCGACGCTGAATTATTAGCCAAAACAGTCTTTGTAGTGCTTTGAGAGAGGTCGAGAAATAAATTTGATCGACCTAAAAAAAGGTCGACACACTTTTCGAAACTTTTTTTGAAAATCCGAGCCCCCCCCCCCCAAACCCCCCCCCCCCCCCACTGCCTTGAGAAAATCCTAGATCCGCCCCCTGCTGAAAATTTTTCATTTTGTCTCAGTTTTTATCCAATCAAAGTTGAATGGTAATAATCTGATGAGCCATTATTGTATTGTTTTTGCATACAAGAAAATTTTTTCCGAAGAAATAGTTAGATGGAGTTAGCAAAAAAATTACCGATTAGCATAAAGATAAAACTTTTAATGCAATAAAATGGTTAACAAAATATTTTATCCAGTGAAGTGAAACAAATGGCCGGTACAAGTTCATGAGGGGCTAGAAGTGGCGCTCAGTTGATCAAAGGAGTTAAGATGGGTTAGTAGTGTGTATTGTTTGAGATTCCTAAGTGGGTTATGCAGTAGTTGAATGCATTATGTGAGCTATAATTTTCTGTATTGGGCTCTCTCTGTCTGATGGGGTTGCCTCTATAAGTTTTCTTTGGATTGATAAAATTATTACACTGATCAATCAAGCAGTCAAGGTTAAATGCGTGTCTGAAAAACTTAGACATTTGTTAAGTTTTAAATAATGATAATAATCTGTCAATTAAACCTCATATGGCTTCTTAAGCGTAGTCAGTGTTGTGTACATGCTCCATGAACAAAATTATTTCCTAACATGGTATGAAAGTATTCGATGTAATTTTTTTAGGCAATCACGTGTCATTTTACCTTAAACTTCTTCTGTTAGTATGCAGTGGTTGTCGAACCAAAGTAAAACTAATTTTTATATCCAATTAAAGTATTGAAAAACTATCTCTATGAAACATTTCTAACTAACCAATCATGATCCATAACTAACATTTACAATTATTTGT